GTTTTTTTAAATCTAGCAGTCTAATCATAACTTTTGTAGTTCATTGCGTCAGAAGAGTCGCTACGCCTGCCACCGGTTCAATTTCAGAGTTTTTGTCGAAAGCGGCCCGTTGAACAAGCTGCACATATTTGTGTTTTTCAAGAATTGCTTACAAATTTCTCGGAATCCCAGCAATTTATTAATATGGGTAGGAATGGTGCCAAAGGAACCAACCACTTTTTTGATGAATTGACTGTCCAACTGGCTTTGTTGCGCCGTTCGCTGCAACAGTCTGCAGGCAATTAGCGCGCAGCATCACTATCCAAGTGTTGGAGTTGCGGACTGATTGCGTGTAGGATGTTGCAGTGATCGGTGCAATACAGATGATTGTACACTGATTTCAAATGCTTGTACACTGCACATCGCTGACTAGCATTGTTACAAACGCAGTGGTGACTGAATTAGTCGTGGCTGATTTGGTCCCATTTGGCAAATTGTGTTAGCTGGCAGTAGCAGATTACCACCTTGTCAGGTGGTTCTTCAGTTAGCACTCCTTGCGCGTGAACTCCTCGATAACCACTCCCCTTGGGTGCATGTTAATGGCAGAGCTTGCATCACTTTTACTCGACTTGTGAGTCTCATCTTCGCATTCCATACCGCGTCTCGTAAAAAAAGCCAAGAAATTTTGGTTTGATTAATGCGTTTCCGAGAGAAACAAATATGGGCATCATCGGGTGGCCGCAGCCACTGGCACTGGGAGCATCGCTGTCGCCGCGTCCTCCGGTCTTCCTGAAATGTGCATGCACGCTTTAATAAAAATGTTCATCGATTTTGTGTATGAGTGAGGCCTGGCATTAGGATCTGCTGCTCCAACTACTACTTCTGTGTGTTGTCAGTGCCTGGAGGGGGCTGTTTCTCCGGAACGCCTCGCATCCTCGTCCCAGCATTCTCCTTGGATTGGCGTTTTTCTTCTCCTAATTGCACAAAATAAATTGCGTTTGTTTTGGAACCGATCGAATTGCGCACTGGCGTCCACTTCGATGCCCTTTTTATCGTGGTCACTGTTAAACAGTGAAATAAACTGGTCATAGAGGATGCTCGTTTCTGGTTCTTTTTTTCAAGCAGTGCGCTCAGCTGTTGTCATCTGCACTCACTTCCTCTTTCTCTTGTGCGCATATTATCACGAAAAAGAGGGAGTATAGTGGCAACATGTCCTGCAGAGTGCGCAAATGCCGAATAACAAGGTGTGAATTTTGTGGATTTTCTCGCCTTTCTCTACCTGCTGCAAGGTCGCAATGTATGCACCCTGCTTCCAAAATCTGGAGCATTCGCACACATGGCATATTTTATAGGTTGCATTTTACTGTGATTGTATGGGGCGGCAGCCCGCAAAATAAACATTTTTTATGCGTTTTTGCTGTGCAGCGCTATTGCGCTGCCATAGCGAGCAAAAACACATGCTGTCAGGAGGTTGTACGTGTGTTTTTTCTGAAGCGAGTGAACTTTGTCACCCACTTTCAACTCAGCAATCAGGAAAGCTGAGAGGCTGAAATTTTGGGGACATATTCCCATCCCGTGTGTCATTCTCCCATTTTAAAATCTTCGCTCATACGCGCCTAGACCTCGCGTACGGATCACTGAAAAAAATATGCAGATTTTTTTGGCGGCAAACGATTTCGCGAACCAGGCAGGGTAGCAGAAACTTTACAGGGGTATTTTGAGATCTGAAAATTTGCAATGCAGCCATCACTCACACTGCTTTTATGGTTCCCGAGTTGAAAGTGCGAGACAAAACGTATTCACACACACACACACACACTTCGTGACAATATGCGTTTTGTACTGTTGTTACACAGCACAAAACGCATAAAAACCAATAATCATGTACCTGGAGGTCCATGCAGCCTCTATAATGCAGCACTTTCATCCCAACCGATGCCCTTCCCCCTGCATGCCGAAAGAGCCAAAACACGGCCAATATGAGCCCAATTGTTAGGCTAGAGCGCAGCAATTATTTCTGCTGTTAGCGGTCTTCAACTTTGTCGCAAAAACACATGGTCGCATCAGCAAGCCTAGTACTTTGCAGCCTGGGTTTTTGATCGATTGGTTTTAAGGTTTTGCCCAATGTGAGTATAACAGCTGTATCTCTAATAGATTCTCATGCATTTTTGCGGTACAGCGCTGTAACACTGCAAGAGTCAACAAAAGCGCATGTTGTGACGACCCTTAGTGCGCGTGTGTGTGTGTGTGTGTGTGTGTGTGTGTGTGTG